TATAACCAAATCAACATTGGGTTATTTGAAATTCCTGCATAACAGAAATTCCTGCAAATTCTCCATCACACAAACTGCAGCTAAACAATAAAACCTTGACCAATTTACTTAAAACCGGAGCCAATACCTCCCATCAAACAAACAGAGTCAAAACCAGAGAAAATGCCAAAAACCAGAGGATGCCGAAAACAAATCATGCCACATATCTATACCTAAAAACCCTTAATGGACTCATATTTCATACACAAAAAAAAATTCATTTCTTGTATCTACAGTTTCCAGAAAAAGGATCAGAGAAAATGAAGTTTTCCAAGGATCGCAACTAGCAACCCAAATCCAAAACCCGATAAAATGCCAAAATATCGAGACATAGAAAATGAAACATATCTCAACTGACGTAAACCCAAAAATCAAAGAAAATGCCAAAAACCAGAGGATGCCAAAAACAACTCATGTCATAAATCTCAAATGGGCTATAGTTAAAAACCCGTAATGTACTCATATTTCACCCGAAAACAAAAATTCATTTCTTGTACCTACACTTGCCAGAAAGAAGATCAGAGTAGCTAAATCGAAAGGAAGCTTTCCAAGGATCCCAGCTAGGGAAATCGAAAGGATACTTGATGATCAGGAAAGAAAATTGGAAAGGAAGAATGTTCGATCTCCTCTAGGGCGACGAACTAGAAAGGATTCCAATGAGGGAGAAGGCGAGGGAGATCGAGGGCGCCTCCAGAATTCCTAAGGCAACGCGGATCGCTAACGCCGGACGCGGGGCTCTCACTGTGTCGAACGATATAAAAGATTTATCGAACGTGGATGCAGTGCGGGAGGAATAAGCTCGTGCGAACATATTTATCAAACAGGGACGCGACGTTTTCAAAACGCCGCCGCTCCCAATAAGCTGCCCCAAACGACCCCTAACCGGCTAGATTTAGCATGCGATTCAACCATTATTGTATAATGACCAAAGTTCGGCCTAAAATCAGAGGTTTTCATCTCATCCCAAAGAACCAATTTGACATCTAGCTTCCACGCCATTACCAATGACTTAATCATTGAGACATTGTGACCGATGACTTGTACTTGTGAATTGTGCGTATTGCATTTATAAAGCAAAAAAGCTACAAAAAAGAGTACAAAAACTATGCCTCATGGGCATTTACAATGTGAGCCTTGTCTCTTACAAAAAAATAGAAAGAAGATCAAGATCATTAAGAGTAGTAACAAAGCTTTTATCTATTGGCATTTTGGCACATGTATGAGCAACTCTATTATTGCTCCTGAAAGGGAACTACATGAATTTTAACATATTTGAGTCAGGTAGATTAGACGCAAATCTGATGATATTTAAAGGTTAGCATTGGATTTGCGTATGATTTTTGTCTGATTTTTTCCAAAGTTAAATTGGGGGTCGGTAATTTTATTTCTGTCTAATTTATATCAAAAAAATTTCGACGCAAATAAATTGCATTGGTTGTTGCGTCGTATTAGCGTTAGATTTTTTTATATGTAACGTGCGTCGAAATTTGAGTCCGAAAATATTCGATGATGAATTTTAAAATCGGATTACCGTCTCATTTGCATCGAAAAATATCGTAGAATAGCAAAAAATTACTGTAGATGAGCGTTAGATTTTGTGTTTGGAAAAGAACACAAATCCGACGCAAACATGTAACATAGAAAAAAATATATAGAATATCTATTAAATTTTCATAATATGCATGAAAACACATTCCACATCACATACCACATTAAGCATAGCCATATCACAGATCAATTCTCTAAATAATATCATTAATAAAAGGAAGATCATGGACCTTGAGTTTACAAACCTACAAAAAAATATAAGGCGGCAAATATTAGGTATTATTTAGTCATTATTAAGTTTAATTTCAGTGTCATTTAGTCTTTATTAGCGTGTTTAGGGTTCAAGGTTTAGGAAGAGAAGGTTTATTTTGGTGTCATTGAGGTGATATTTAAGTGTTATTATAGTGTTGTTAAGGTATTGTTCTGGTATTGTTTAGGTTTTAGCATGGTGTTATTTTGGTAGTGTTATGTGTATTAATTTGGTTTGATTTTGGTGTGATTGTGGTGTTAGTTTGGTGTTATTTAACAAATTAAAGTATAGTTATGATATTATTTAGGTATTATTGTAGTATTATTTCAGTGGTGTTCAAATTATTAATTCGGTATGATTTTGGTGTGACTGTGGTGTTAGTTTGGTGTTATTTAATAAATTAAGGTATTGTTCTAGTATTATTTAGGTATTATTATGGTGTTATTTTGGTGGTGTTCTGTGTATTGATTCAATATGATTTTGGTGTGACTGTGGTGATAGTTTGGTGTTAGTTTGCTGTTATTTAACAAATACAATGATACTATTGATGTTAACTAGATTTGATATTGTGCTATATTGATGTTTTTGGGTGAACGTGTGGTGACATTTAGTTCAAACTACTAAGATACTGTTGAATGATTTGTTTTTTATTTCAATCATGCAGTGCCTAATTTGAACTATGCACAAAAATACTATAGGATGAAGTGCTTAACTCAGTTAACATAAACTTTTCAATGAAAGCACAACCACAAAAATAAAAAATTACCTAGATGAACTCTCTTAGAAGTCCTTCTTACGCTATTTGGCTTCATTTTTCTCGCGCTCTTCAATCTCCATTTTCATAGGCTCTACAATTTCCATTTTCATAGCTCTTCGGTTTCCATTCTCATAGGATGCTCTTTGGTTTCCGTCTGCCTTGACTCGGTTTTTATCTTCTTAAACTCCTAGGTAAGTAGAAAGAGCGAATGTATTTCTACTGGCGAACGACAACCTTAAACCCTAAGCTATCTGATTCAGAAAAGCAATGAAAAACCCTAAACGGATGGTGAATGACGAAAGAGACGATGCTCGACTCTCGAGCTGCGGTTTTCGTTTTGATGCAATGATCTGATGTTTCGTATTTGGGACGCAATAAGTTTTGGTTTTAGTTTTTCGGAGGCTTGGGCGAGACTCGAGCTGGGTCGCGTGGTAAATGTATTAAAAATTTAATTTTTTTGGTGGTGGGCCCTACATTAAATGTATTAAAATTATTTATAGTAGCATTAAAACTAGTGATATTCTTATTAGTAGAAGCATATCTGTTAATTCTTTTTGAAATTTTTTATTATGAAATTGAAACTCGCAGCCACCTTTTTACTTAATCTTTTTTCTTATTATATTCTTAATAAATGCATTTCTAATGGTTATTTCTTTATTCTTCCTAATGATACTTATCAAATTCTCTGTTATTTATATAATATTATTTTGAAAAATAAAAAAAAAATTGCATCTTTTGGCTATTCGAATTGTTATTTATTCTATATGATTTGAAAAAAAAAGTAAACTTCTAGGAATATTTCTACCCCTATTGAGGTTCTTATCATTTATACTCATTAGTTGGTGAAGGAGAAACAAAGAAAGTAGAGAATTAAGCAAGATATTCTATATAAGTTGAGAAATTTTTATAATATTTATAAATTTTTTTGTTTTGTTACATTTCTGGTCTTGATTATCTTTTGTTGAATCATTTTTTAGATTTGTTGTTTTTCTCTCCTTTTTCTATTTGATATTTTTGTGTTGGTGTTGGATTCCTTAATGTTATCTTGGTTATGTGTTTTTTTCTTGCTTCTTTCCTTATTCTTTGTGGTTTTCATCTCAGTATCTTATTTTCATATTTTGCACTGTTTTGATCAGATATGCTCTTGAACTTTTGATCTGATACTTCTCTTGATCTTAGTAGTTTTGAGCATATTTATTTTTATTCTTTAATTTTTTTTATGATGAATTCTATTCATACACTAAAATTCTATCATATTTTGAATATTTAAGGTTTTTGATTTAAAATATTCACTATATTTGATTGGAATTTTAACGGTCCTTCTGTTGATAAGTTCTTGAGCCCTTGTTTTTCTTATTTTATTTTTCATCTTTAGTTAGTTTGTTTCCTGTCTATTGTTATTTTATTAATCTTTCATTGTTTATTGCCTTCTCTTGGCTATTTTTTTTCTTTAAAGATGGTATCTTTTATTTCAAATTTCCTTAATTCTGATGGAGACATGATGTGCTTGTTGAAGGATTTTTCCCTTCTTGTTCTTCATAGAGTTGTTGTTGCTTTCCATTGCCACTGTTGAGCTCGATTATAGTTGTTTTTAGGTGGATGCAATAACTTGACGTGCTCCGCTTCTTCCTTCTATCGATGTCGTTTTTTTTTTGTTTTGTTCATTTGATGTTTTTGTTGAATTTTTGTTTGTTTATGCTTCTTATTGTGTTATTTCTCCGTCAGTCCTGATTGTTTTTTTTTTGTTTTCTTTTGTATTGTATTGCTTCTGTTCTGTTTGTTTTTTTGTTATCTTTTGGGTTGTATTTGTGATGTTATTGAGTCTTTTGTGTATTGTAACACTTGTTTCTCTTAAGAATAATTGGGCCGAGCCCCCACTTCCGGTGGCCACAAACCATGCCGTCCCCACAAAACACGACTTTGAGCTTAGAGTCACTACAACAAAAGTGTGAAAAGAAACTTTTGCATAAGATCATAAAACCCATCTTCTTTGTCATTCAGTCCGTATAAACTTAGGGTTTGTTTGGGGCAGCTTCAGATTATTGATGATCTGTTGATAAACAGCTTATCCAGATAAGCTGCTGATTAGCAGTTGATTCGGACAAACTGGTTGTCTGTTTGATTTGTGCGTTTGAAAAATAACTGATTTGCAGTTGTTTGTGGATAAATGAAAATTCTGCCCCATATGCGGTATTTCCAAAATACTTTAATATTTTTGAGTGCGGAGATGGTCTGGGGGCATTTACATGCACACCACCCAATTCTAAGTTTTTTGCATATTTAAAATCTAAACTTTACATGTATAACATCTAAATATTTCATATTATATTAAAAATATCACTATTTATTTTTTTTTAAAAGTCATAATAAATATTTTTAAGATGACACATATATAAAAGTAGAAGTATAGGTGTTAGAAATGTAAATGCATCGGTATTTGGTGGTCGGTCTGTAAATCTTCGGAGATTGAGATCAAGAACCTCAACTGAGGGTTGAGAGAGACGAGCGTTGAGCGAAGAGGTTAGGGCATACTATACGGGAAGAGGGCAATCTCATCAAAATATTTCCAGAAATGCCGACAGTGGGGTTCATCCCACGGCGCACGTTTAACATAAAATCCAAATGTCGTTTTCCTGGATGCTGCCTGAATGCTGGATCCAAACGGTGAGTCAGCGTTTTCAACGCAGCTCATAAGCTGCCCAAAGGCACTATTAATTTTCTTAAAAAACACATATATAATCAATATGCAACGTCTCTTTTTACATTAAATGCCAGCTCTAATTCCCTACTCCTATTTAACATAATCAGCATTCTCGCAACATTCATCACATGAACTGCTGAAACCGTGCGAGAACAAACAAATACTTTTTCAACGAAGTTCTGTCCCAATCTAAGGCACTGCGCTCAGTGCTGCCAACAAGCCAAACAGCCATTAAATTTTTATCTGATTGCTAATGTTTTTTGTTTCAGAAACAGAAGCCACTCCACCCATAGAAGAAATATAAGCTATCTCTCAAGTCTGATGAGCAATCTTTCCAATGCTTCTCTCATCCAAATATGTTGGCAGCCCTCCCTGGCTTCAGCCACGGTCACCTGTTAACCCAAAGCAAAGCAAAGCAAAGCATTTATTAGGACACTGCAAAGAATTAAGATTAATAAAAAAATATATTATAGAATTAAACATGGTTTACATTTCATCTACTTACCCATCTCCTCTTCCGAAGTTCCATCTCAGGCCAATAAGCCAATTCCTCAGTTACATTTAACGGAAACATAGTACCCTCATAGAATACATTGTTCCTATTACTTTTATATAACCATCTCCCCAGATTTCCCTGCAAGCAAATAAAAATTCAGTTTTGAAATCGTTGAATTAGCCATAAAGAAAACAAAGTAAGGATATTAATGATAATGATGCTAATGCTAACCTCAAGGTGTCCTTGAACGCCAGCCTCCTCCATAGCCTCCCTCGAAGCGGCCTGGTTCATAGTTTCATCTGATTCCCATCCTCCCTAAACAAAAGTATTATATGATTTATTAGGTTAAGATGCTGAAATGACACAACTTCAGTAATACAATGCAACATATGATTCAAAACTTCAACTTTTCAGATAGTCCAGAATTTCAGTTTGGTTATAGTGGAGAATTTAGTGATTGTTGATATAACATAAGCACATGGAAATGAAGACCAAAGGCATTGATTTTTCTTCTGAATAACCCACATAAAATGGAAATAAAGCTATAATGAAAATTTGAAGCTTTTTACTGAGGAAGAGGGCTCCAAGGGTTACTGAATTTCATTAAAAAAGAATTTCTCAACGGCACATCATGAATAGAAAAATCTTTTAAAATACTACAACATCTTCAATCTAATGTAATCATTCCCACGAATTTACCTTTGGGAACATCATGCCATGGCCCTTTTGTGAGCTTATGACAAGAACTTGCACCATTTTATCCATGCCAACCATGAAAGGACCATCCTTTTTCAATTTGTATGGAATGCATCTGTATAATTGAAAAAGAAATCTTAGATAAAAAAATAACAAAATACTTCATGGCAAATGAAAATTATAAACAGCAATTGCAACTAAACTCATTCGGCAATAGCTTTTCATTGCAAATATTCTTTAAAATAAACAAAGCCTATTGTAACTTGGAGAGTAAAATTGTTCTGAAAATACGGAAAGGGGCATTTTTTTAATGAAAGATTCCACATAAGCCCATCAAAATCGTATTTTGACAGAGGAAATCCACCAAGAAATCCAAGAGATGGAGAAAAAGTAGACAATTCTGAAGCCTGTAGTAGCTTAGAAACGTGAAAACTAAGCAAATGAAGCCAAATCAAAACACAAAAACCAGATGCAGCAGAAAGATAAAACAAAACCCAATGAACAAATCAATCATTTACACAATGTACCGAATCAAAATCCCATCTTTTTTCCAAAAACAAAAACTTCGGAAACCAGAGCATCGACTCACCCAACAACGAGCCTTTTTCCACAGCTTGTATAGCGCTGAAGCTCCCTCCCCTGCCGCGCAATCATCATCGACATCTTCTTCCCACCGGCCACTGAATCTTTCTCTCCTTCCCCTTACAAAACTACGAAGAACACTACCTCAATCGATACCAAACCCAAATAACCGAAACAAAGATACAGAGCCTTTAAAAAGCTAAGTTGGAGCGAACCGCCGCTCCTCTCTGCCGCCTGAACTTAGCAAATCTATAGGAAACCGTTGATTGGGATCAAAATTGAAACTTTTTATAGAAAAGGAAAGCCCTAGAGGTGGACGTGGAGGATTAGAGAGTGAGGAATGAAGAGTTTGAGACTAGATAATGAATTGGCTTTTTCATGGAGAGCTGCTGCTGCGACGGGGTTATATAAGATTGGGTATCCGGCCATGAGAAGCGCGTGTGCGGATTTTCTTTCTTTTCTCTAGCTGTGATCCTTGATGTTTTGCTCCCCCGCGTTGGTAAATCTGAGCTGGCAGACACGCTTGAGAATTTCAAGTAGCTTTCGCTATTATTCCCTCCCCAAAAGGGTATTAGAGCCGCCACGCAAGGTGGAAACAATTGCTAACATGGTAGCAGTCATCTCACAAAAAGAGCTTTTCGGAGTGGTGGACAGCCTAATATTTGAATATTATTTTTCAGTACTACACCTAGCCGATGTGAGACTTTTTGTCCATGACATTTTCCTCCACCCAATTACGTTACGCTCTCGTCATGGATCGACTCTACTGAGGGTCCCATTAGACTATGGAGAGTCCACACACCTGACAAATAGTAATTTGCTCTGATACCACTTGTCACATCCCAAAAGAGTTCTTCAGGGTGGTGGGCAGCCCAAGACTTAAATACTATTTTTCGGCCCTACACCTAGTCGATGTGGGACTTTTTGTTCGTTACATTAGGCTAGTGTTAGGAGAACTAACCCCCTCGTACTTGTCATGCATTTTTCATAGGTATATGATGACATATGCTCGTAGCACAAATGCTAAGCATGCGGGTGCAAGACATTCTGGGGAGATTACACCTCGTTGGAGAGGCGACTCAGATGCTTATGTAGAAAGCAGATATAACATGCATGAATGGGATTAAGTTTGATTGCATCAAGTATAGGACCCAAAGGGGAATTACAAATCATTGGAGAGGCAATCAAACGAGGTCATGCAAGTGGCAAGCACAAACAACACATGAAATGTGACACAATGCACAACAGATCTTAAATGATGTCATGAGTGTTGGGCGTTGTGACTCATGCTAGGTGAGAGTCAATACACCCAAGTGAATATATATTGTGCACTAGATGGGTTCAAGGGCTAAGTAGCATGACGCATATTAAGTGACACATTATTACATACCTATAACACTCCTAGGTGATGCAGTAGGAAGTGAGGTAGCATGATTCTCATCAAAGAGAATTATGCATCGAGTGTGCTTTATATGTTGGCTACCTCCACGAGGTGTGAAAATATTCGGTCATTCACATGTGGTCTCGCAAATGTCTGTGTGTGTGTGTACGTTTCATTGGGGAGTCGACTATCTTCTCCGTCGATGTTGACTTTCAAGGCTTCGTCTTCCTTGATGAAGGGAAACTCTTCAAGCAGCATGGCCCGAAAACACCATCCCACATTTTGGGAAAGACATTGTTAACTATCGTTAATGGGGAGTTGCATCACTTCTTGAAGTCGCTCTCACTTAGTTTTTTCAGCATATAAAACCTTAAGATGCTCTTCATATCATATGTCAACGTGACAATACTATGAACGGTGAAAGACTAGAAGGAAAACACTCTCTTTCCCATGAAAAAAGAAGCTTGCAACATTTTATGGTAGAAGATGCTCTTTCATATTATTATATTTTCAACAATCATTTATATATCTTGTCGGTCTCACTAACTTGAGAAAAGATTACGTTTGGATAATTGGATGCACAGATGAAGGTATGGATCACACCACATGGCTTACATAACAGCGTGATTCAATCCATGTCATCTTCATATGGATATCCAGACGACACACATAATATTTTCCTTTAATTTAACATGATGTACACTATAATAATAATAATAATAATAATAATAATAATAATAATAATAATAATAAACTGGTAATGATTAGTAGGTTACTTTCAATGTGATGGTGAAGAATGTGCTTAGCATGAACCGTGTTGTGGATGAGGCTGAAGAGCTATGAAAACAATACACATCTTTCATAAAGGGTCTACTTGTCATTCCTGTCCTGTCTATTTTTTGGAGCTAGCTATTGGAAGGCAATTCATGCATTTTTTTGGATAAAGGATTGTCGCAATCAACAATATAGAAAATAAAATTATGAAAAGACTCATAATCAATGTCTCTTTAGGTTAGCGTGTCAGGTTCTAATCTAACCTAAATAGGTCTGATCTAAACCAGACCTGAATTTTATATGGGTTAAAATTTTCAACCAGAACTCACCCCATCTTCAACTTGTCAACCTGAACCTGCCGTATAACGTGTTTAACATAAAGTGTTATAATAGTTGTTTGGGTTTAAATCGGGTCAATTCTAGATTGTCGGGTAGATTTCAAGTCATTTTAGGATTTACAGATCATTTTTAGGTAGGTGGGTCAATCTGAACCCGACCAGAAAAATTAAGCAGGCTAGAATATTTAACGCAAACCCTGATCAAAATCTAAAATTTTCAAGTTTGATTTGGATTGAGGTGTCGTGTCTAGTCAATGTTTGACTCCCCTAATCATGATGACATTAAATTATGCGTTTTTTTCCCTTTTAATTGATAGAATGGCATCTAATTTGCAGTCAAGAAAGGCTATTTTAAGTAGATTTGATCGAGTATTAGAAAAAAAGATCCAAGAAAAAGAGATGGGAATGGATGAGTTTAATCAATCAAATTTCTTCGGTTACATTCTCCTAAATTCAAACCTTAATGCTGAGTGAATTGGTGATATATTACTGGATTAATCTTTTGAGGACAAGAGAAGACGAAAAGGGAAGAACATGTTGGCATGGGATGACTATAAAAAGTTGTGGTTCACTCAATGTGTTAGTATTAATTGTTAATTTTTGAAGCTTAATTCTTTCGTTATTTCTTAATGGTCTAAGCCCTTAATCACACAACCCAAAGATTAATTATCTTTTAATTATAAACATTTATTTATTTATTTTATTATGTTAAATATGTCAAAATATTTTGTTGCACATCAACATTCATCCATATCATATTACTTTTCAGCTATTTTAGTCATTATTTAATTTTGATATAATTTTAATTTGTTGGTTTGTGGAATTATTCCTAATATTGGAGAGTAATTAACACAATTAACTTTGATTTATAAATTGAAGTTTAACAGTTAGAAAAAAATAATATATATTTAAAAATTGAAGTTTAATTGTTAGAAATGTAAATACAAAGGAACTGATGAGTAAGCACGTAAATCTTCCTATTTATAAGTTAATATGTTAATAAAAACCGTTTAATATTCTTTAATATGTTAGGAGTGAAATGAACGATGTTGTATTTTGTTTTGTATGACAACTAGTTGTCACCTCCCAAAAGAGTTCTTAAGGGTGGTGGGCAGCTCATGACTTAAGTACTGCTTTTCTGCCCTACACCTAACCGATGTGAGACTTTTTGTCCGTGACATTCTTCTCTACCCAATGATGTGACGCCCTCGTCACGGATCAGCTCAACCGAGGGTCCCACTGGACCATGGAGAGTTTACACACCTGACAGACAGTAATATGCTTTGATACCACTTGCTCCCAAAAGAGCTCTTAGGGGTAGTGGGCAACCCAAGACTTAAATACTGTTTTTCGGCCCTATACTTAGCCGATGTGGGACTTTTGGTTCGTGACATAGTGCTCCATTTTCATTAGATGAAATGAAATTTTATGATTTATAAATTTTATTACATTTTAATTTGCATCCATTAACTTTATTCATGAATCTTTCATCATGCACCAACATTATTCATGCATTTAATTTATGCGCACTGTAACTATACAGTGGAATAGTAGGAGTATAATAATTTTTCCTATACATATAGTAGGAGTATAATATATATATATATATATATATATATATATTTTGTTTCAACACATTTAACTATACAGTGGAATAGTAGGAGTATAATAATTTTTCCTATACATATAGTAGGAGTATAATATATATATATATATATATATACATATAATTTGTTTGAAAACATTAAAAGAAAACAGTCTAATAATATACATAGATAAATAAAAGAAAGATAACATTGGTGATAGTATAGCCATCACAAGTGTTTTTTATCGACACACACATTGTAACGAACAATCAACAAAAATTGAAAGTTAGATAATAAAGGTGGCATCCACCAACTAATTTTATATAATAGAGAAAATTATTTATCTAAGCATTTATGAGTATCTTTATTTTTCTCTTACAACATTACTTGAAAAACAATTAGTATGCCTAGCAAATTCAAATATCAATATTAAATTATGAAATTAATTAAAAATAAAAAAAATCAAAAGTTAAATTATAATTACTCAAATGATATTAAAAAAAAAGACATATCCTGAGGTTATTATACGAGTCCTCATCATCCCCCATGCGCCTAATAAATCGAGTAATACACTCTTCACCAGAAGAATCGAATCATAGATCAGAAAAGACTTATAACCGATAAATTGATGCCTGACCTGCGCATACAGCTCAAGCTCAACCCAACCAGTTTACACCCTTTGAATTGACTGATATGCACATAAATTTTTAAAACTGCGATACTTCCGCTAGCTTACAGGTCCGAACCTATTAAATACCGCCATGCGGGCAAACTCCGAAGCTCCTAGCTCCTTATGTATCTGGCCTCCCCTCAAACACTCGAATCTTCCACTCCACTCAACTCCCACGCTTCCTCGCCACCTTCCTTCCGCCTCTATCGTCGCCGTGGATGTCGGTGTTTTGCGGCCTGGAATGTGTCGTCTGTCTCGGCTGTTCTCGTTGGGCCTGGAAGCGCCTTACCTACATCGGTGCCTACGACTCAGAATCATGGCCACTTGCCACCACCGAAGCCTTCGAACCCGTACCCCGCATCTGCCGCACCATCCTCGCCGTCTACGAGCCCGACCTCTCCAACCCTCGCTTTCCCCCTCCAGGTGGCTATGGAATGAACCCTTGCTGGATCATCAAGCGCGTCGGCTACGATCAGACACACGGCCGGTGCCCGCCCTACATCATCTACGCCGATCACGACCATCACGAGATCATCCTCGCCATCCGAGGTCTCAATCTCGTCCGCGAGAGTGATTACAAGGTTCTTCTCGACAATCGCTTAGGTATGCAGATGTTCGACGGCGGGTACGTTCATCATGGTTTGCTTAAGGCGGCGGTATTCATTCTTCAGCGCGAGACAGGGACGCTTCGGCGGCTGCTTTGTGAGCTGGGGCTGGAGAATAAGCTCGTGCTCGCTGGGCATTCGCTGGGATCCGGCGTGGCGGCGCTGATGACGGTCATTGTGGTTAATCACAGGGACAAGTTTGGGGGTATAGCTAGAAACCATATTCGATGCTACGCCATCGCGCCGGCGAGATGCATGTCGCTTAATCTTGCCGTGAAGTATGCTGATGTTATCAATTCTGTTATTCTTCAGGTGAGGGTTTTTTCTTGTTTGTTTTTATTGATTGGGTTAGTGCTTCATGCTAGCATTGGAGGTGGTGATTGGATTGAGAAGTATAGGAATTTTGTCGTTTTCCCCTGCTTGTTCGATTATTGTCTTCATGGAAGATAATCCTGATCAGTATTCAATAGTAATAGGTACTTCAGTATTAAATTGCTGGCATCGATTGGTCTGATGGAGATTGCTTAGAACCAAATTGTGAATTGGGAAAGTCGCTGCACCAGGTAGCTCATATTTTGGTGACTTGGATGTTAAGGAATGCAAAGAACATCGTTGGGCTTACGAATTCTTGAATTCGGTTCGAGGGCAGTGTACTGGGAATTTATGCATTCTTCTTTCATTTATATGCTGACGATGCATGCAGACTGATGAAGTTTTTCTTCTGAAACGGACAATCTACAAGTTTGGGTGATATTTGAGTTCGCTTCGTTTTCGTTGGAAATTTAAGAAAAGCATCTGTTCTTCTGGCCTGAAATAACTTTAGGAAGTGGAATGGCGTACATAAATTTCTAATGTACTATTCATTAAAATGGTTCCACCTCAGTCGTCTATTTTTTTCGGGCTAAATGAGAATCCAATGCTTGTAGGATCGTTGGATGAATTACACGTCATACATAATCCATAGCCTTGAAGACTTACTTTGGGCTCTCATAGGGGTAGCGCAGTCTTTTCCGTTGTTTTAGTAGAATCCTAGGAGGACTTTTTCCTTGGGAATGGATATCGATCATGAAGGGTGGTCATCTCTGACTGCAACTTGGAGACCGGCTAATGATGGTTAAGAATTTGAACGACGAGTCAGTGATAGATATAATTTGGATTTCGCTTTTTTTTTTAAATTTTCTAATGTGTCTTAGAGACTCTGATTAGTCTTAGTTATATTCTTCTAGTTATGCTGTTACATTTGATTTAATTAGTTAGTAAGAGTTGCTACTGACGAATCCTGCTGAAGGTAGACAGTGAGTTTAATTGCCTTAATTATAAATGATGTTAAAACAAAATTAGAAAAGTAAAATCAAGAAATTTTAGGACAAATGATTTTTTATGTGATAAATCTTATAAAAAGAAAAACTATGGGTCTTGCCTAATTAATACATCTTTCACTTCTAGTAGAATGAGTTACAAGGACCACCCAGGGGTGTCAAAATTGACCAGGCGCACCAACTTCTCTCAAACATGACTTGAAAATCTGAGTTTGGGTTGACCTGATTAATTTTCTTAGTCAAGTTCGGGTTCAAAATTTCAACATGTTTAAATTTTTTGATTGGGTTTGGGTTGAACTGCCAAATTGAAATTGAGCCTCAACCTGAAATTAACCTGAATACCCATCAACTCAAATTTGAACCGAACTTGACTCGAAACTAACTAGAATTTAACACAAATAATTACTATGCATATCTTAAATTAGCGGGTTTAAGTTAGACTTTCTGACCCATTTAATATTTGGGTCAGGTTCGAGTCAAATAGTTTTAAGGCAAGTGAATTTCATATCAAACCCGAACCTAACCTAGGAACCCGATTTGACACCCATTGGGCCACTCTTTCTGTCGCAAATATCTTGATGATGATTATTCAAAAAAGTGACTGAAATAGATGGAGATGATTGCATTTGTTGTATCTTAAATCCATTTCTTCGACACTCCTCACCTTTATCTGGATACTCGTCGAAGAATGCAGAAGAAAGAAACAACAAGCATCAAGAAATCTGCTCAATTTGGCTTAAAAAATCAATTTTTTGTGTACTAACCGTACTGGGCGCTTAGGCGCCCAAATATGGCCCCTAAGTCCAAATATGGCCCCTAAGTGCCAAGCTATCGGTATTTGCGCCCAGAAACGGGCACCTAGGCGCTAATAGACCGGCGCCAATGTGTAGGTTATTTAGGAAAACGAGCAGTGCCTGCACCATGTGGGGTGTTTAGATGCCAAATGGTCGGCGCATAGGCACTGAACTTTTTGTTTCTATGCCCTTATAGGGCTCTTGAGCGCCCATGACTGGTGCCAATCTTAAATATTGCTTGAAATGCTTTGGCTCCACACTACATAACAATCTCCCACATGGAGACAGAGCCGAGCACCAGTCCTCTGTACCCACATCTCCATCTAAATTATCTTCATAGATACGTATCGTGGTCACGTACCGTGCTGTGGCTCATCCCCAGTCTCAACCTTCATGAAATCCAACGGAAGCCAAACACAACTTCAGTTTCTCAACAGTCACCACCTTTGTCAATATATTCGGAGGATTTTCAACTGTATACATTTTTTCCAGAAAGAACTGTCTATTCTAAAAGAGTAGAATGAATTGATACATCAACTAGATGTGTTTCGTCTTGACATGAAAAATAATGTTCTTGGCAAGATCAATTACACTCATACTGTCACTGTAGAGATTCCTCTCAAATATTTGAGAATTCACTTTACTATCTCCCATGATGTCTGCCTGGATTGCCCATGTACCTGCTGATTACTCCCACTGCATATACAATATCTGACATGATACAAATCATTGCATACATCAAACTTCAACTACTAAAACATACAAAGTTCTCTTCATCTGTGCTTGCTCTGCTTCAGAGTTTGACGATAACTCCTTAGTTTGAAGTGACTACCTAAGAGACTGCGAACTGGTTTCGTCTCACTCATGTTGAACGTCTGTAGGATCTTCTCTACGTACTCTTCCTGAGATAACATCAATGTTCCTACACTCCTGTCTCTGCTGATTCTCTTCCTGAGGATCTTCTCGATTGGACCTAAATTCTTCATCTCTAATTCACTTGATAATTGATTCTTGATTTTCTCCATATTTTCCCATACAATCAACATGTTAGCCACATATAAAAGAAGCAAAATATAACAGTTACCGAAGTGTTTGATGGAGCAATAGTGGTCTGCCTGACACTTCATGTACTCATTGTCTGACATGACCTGCCAAGCCTCCTATACCATTGTCTCGGGGCTTGCTTTAAGCCATAGAGGTTCTTCTTCAATCTGCAGACCAGACCTTCATTGCCTAGAACTTTATAATCTTGTGGTTACACCATGTATAGCTCCTTTACATCTCCATGTAAGAAAATTATTTTTACATCCATTTGTTTCAGATGTAAATTTTCCTTTGCTACCAGACTCAGCACAATCCTGGCAGTCGTCATCTTCATCACTGGGGAGAAGATTTTTATATAATCCACTCTTTCTGGAAACCCTTCACAACAAGTCTTACTTTAGAACACTTGCTACCATCCGTCTCTTCTTTCAACCTATATCCACTTGTTGTGCAGTGCTCTTTTGCCATTTAGTAGTACAGTCAAATCCCAAGTCTGATTTGACTTCAAATTTTGCATTTTTTTATTCATGGCAAGCTCCCGCTCCCTTGAATCTTCAACTTGAGTGGCCTCCTCAAAATACTTTAGTTTACCACTATCAATTAGTAATAAATAGTGTAAAGAAAGAGAATACGTTTGTATGGGTTGTTTCAATTTGTTGAATCTTCTGACTTCTATAATAGGTGACTGAGGAACTTTTAGTCGTCCTTCTGGTTGAGCACTTGTTATTTATCTATCTCTTTGATCACCAGTATCATATATCTCCATATATCTGGATTCTTCAGAAGTAGTTGACGGAATATCCTAAGTTCTAGTCTTGTCTTTGTACATTTCCATTTCGTTGAATGTGATATCCCTACTCTTAATGAATTTTTGATTATGATAATCCCATAACTTATATCCAATGAAGGTGCACTTGACAGATTTTGAGTCAAGTTTGCTTCTAGACCTTGCATCAATATGCACATATGCAGAACACCCAAATACTCTTAAGTGAGATAGACATATATTTTTGTCACCTCAGGCTTCTTAAGATAAGCCTTCCTTCAAAGGTACTAATGGACTACAGTTGATCAGATAAACTGTAATATTTACCGCTTCAGCCTAAAGTTGTTTTGACAAGCTTGCATGCAATCTCATGTTCCTGGCATGCTCCGTAATTATTCTGCTTTTGTGCTTAGCCACACCATTCTGCTATGGTGTCCTTGGGATAGTGAACTCATCCCTGATCTCCTCTGTCTCCTCTGTAGCACAAAAATTTTTGAACTTCTGATTATGGTACTCACCCCCATTATCTGATTCAATACACTTCAGCTCTAATTCTGTCTCATTTTATATCATAGCCTTCCACTTCTTAAAGACTTCAAGTACATCAGATTCTGCTTTAAGAATAAACTCATATTTTTTTGTGTGACCATCAATGTGTGACAAAATAGTGAGAACCTCCAATAGAATGAACTGGAGTAGTACTCCATACGTTAGTGTGAACTAACTCCAATTTCTTTGATTTCACCATTGACTCACCCTTGGAGAAAGAAACCTTATTTCGCTTGCCATATTTACAGTCTTCACATAAATCTAGATCAATTAATTTCAAACTGTGAAGTTTATTTTTTGAAAGTAGGGACTTCATACTATTCATGCTCATATGACTAAGCCTACAGTGCCACATAATTGCATTCACTCTGGTTCCAACCACATCAATGAAATCAATCATTTTATTAATTAGATAAAAGTCACCTTTAATGTTGCCCCGAGTCATCACTAATGCCTCCTTGGTCACCTTCCACTAATCACCTGTGAAAGTAGACACGAGTTCAGAATTTGCCACCTGGCTCACGAAGATAAGATTTTTGTTCAAACTTGGAACATATCTTACTTCAGTAAGCTTCTACACTATTCCATTTGACAACTTGATTTCAACATCACCATTTCCAACTATATTGTAAGCCTTGTTATCTCCCAAATAATTTTTTTGTAGATCACTTTGAGTGTAGTTTTTAAATAGCTCATTATTGGGGCAAACATGAAAAGAGACACCTGAATCCACTATCCAGTATTCAGTACTGGCTAGAGATAACACCAGAGAGTCATTTTGTATTTCACCAGTGGAGATATTAGAAGCGAAACTACTATTTTGTCCTCCACCATCAGCTTTCCTTGGAGCTTTGCAGTCCTTCTTGAAATGTCATTTCTTACTGCAGTTCCAACATTCTCCAACATTCTCCTCTACTTACTCGACTTGGGCTTTCCTTTCTTTGATTTGGATCTTCCTCTGCTTGTATTCCAGCCTAAATTCTTTAATCTGTTATCAACGTTCAACGCGAAACCTGAAGTTTTACCATTCGCCGCTTTTCTGCGAATTTCTTCATTCAACATCAGACTCACGATATCATCAAAGCTGAACTTCAAAGTCCTTGAAGAATTACTCACCTTCGTTGCCAAGCCATCTCAACTTTCTAACAATGAAGATAATATCACCAGTGCTGTGACCTCATCATCAAACTCGATCTCTACAGAACACAACTGACCTGTTACAGTGTTGAAGTTACTAAGATGTTTTGCCACTAAACTGTCTTCTACCATCTTCATGTTTAATAACTTCTTCATCAGAAAATTCTTATTGGAAGCAGAAGGCTTTTTGTACATCTTGGCAAATGCCGCCATGAGATTCATTGTAGTTTTCTCATTCACAATATTGAACACAACAGATGAGGAAAGTGTCAACCTGATCAAACCTTGTGTCGTTCAATCCAACACTTCCTATTCCTCCATAGGCATAGACTCAGACTTCCTTGTGATTCCTTATAGTGGCTAATATAATTTTTTCTGATACAACAAATTCTCAATCTGCATCTTCCAGAAAAAGAAGTTTGTCCCATTGAATTTCTCCACTTTAAACTTTAATTCTTCGGCCATTGCTCCCAGTTGAATCGACCTCCCCGCGTGCGCTCTGATACATGTTTGTTAAGAAAACTACTCCGAAAGAGTCACATTCTAATTTCGTAGCGGAATAGGATCACAAGATTTGAGAAAACTTGAACAAAAAATTTAAGAAAACACAATCAGAGCAACAAAAACACACATGAATTTTTACGTGGAAATGCCTGAAAATAAGAAAAAAACTAGACCATCACAAATATTACTATGTAATTCAAAAAATTTTACAAAGTACTCACACAAGTTTTTTCTCCACACTCACACGAAGAAACTTACAGAACTCGCACCAACAATCTTCCCTCTTAGATCCGACGCAAAAACCCCATCAAATCACCAAAATCAACCTCTTCTTCACTCCTATTCTTCACCGGGATATTCGTCGAAGAATTCAGAAGGAGAAAACAACAAGCATCAAGAAATCTGCTCAAAACTAACTTAAAAAACCAATTTTTCGTGTATTAACCGCATCGGGCGCTTAAGTTCTCAAACTTGGCACCTAAGCGTCAAGCTCTCAATATCAACGTCTAGATATGGGCGCCATGGTGCCAATAGACTAGCCCTATGCGCCGTTCTCTTGGGAAAACGAGTAGCGCCCGCACCATGTAGGGCGCTTAGGCGCCAAATGGCCGACGCATAGGCTCCTGCCTTTCTGTTTCCGAGCCCTTATAGGGTGCTTGAGCGCTTAGGCGCTAGCCTTAAATGTTGCTTAAAATTCTTTCACTCCACACTACACCATCTGGATTGAAGAAGGCGATTGGAGGTGATTTACACAATTTCCTTCAAAATGGAAGGGTAGTAGAAGGGTGCAGATTGGATGACCTAGAGTTCGTGGGCAATTGGAGCCAATTAAGATATGAATCCTCTTGGATGGAGGGTTGGATATGACAACTTGAAGTCCATGGGTGATTGTAGGACAACTTGAAGTCCATGGGTGACTGTAGACGGTTAGGATCGTCCTCATCCTAGATAGTGAGGGTTGAGTAGATTATTTAGAGACGACAAGCTATTAGCATAGTCTGAAAGAGGCACATGAGCCTTGAGACATGCCGCAAATGATGGCGTAGGAGAAGCACCATGAGGCTTACTAGTGCAGTAATATATAGGCTTTTTAGCAATGAAGCATTTGCCTCGAGGTGCAATGCGTCGAGGCACTTGAATTATCGCCTCATATTCTTAATTATATTAAATTATATATTTATATTATTAATATATTTAATCTAATATGATTCCCTTAAGCAATATGTTCTCACACATGACACAAAATCTATTGTGTAAGGTAGAATTTGTTCTTTTCTTTGTTTCCCTGTTGAGCGTCATGTTGAGGTAGAATTTGTTCTCTTCTTTGTTCCCCTTTGAGCTTCATGTTGAGCCTGTTTGCGCTTAGCATTTTCTACTTCGTGTCTTTGTAGAGCATCATTTCTAGCACGTTTCTAAATCACTGCTTAAATTGCCTATCTATTGAGCGTCAAATTCCTGTCTCGAGGTGGTTTGCTAAAGCCTCGCAGCGTCGCCCACTGGAGCATCTCTATCAAGCTTCATTTTCTTCTCCACTGCTGACTATAGCCTTATATTTTTCTATGGCTTCATAGGAGTAACATTCATTAAAGATAAGATGATTTATAATAGAATTTTCTAGTTTGGACATGCACAACTAAAGAAGTTGAGGATGCTTTAAAGAAAACCAATGGTGGAAAGTCTGTAGGATCTGATGATATCCCAATTAAAGTGTGAAAATATTTAGGAGATTCGAGAGTTTCTTGACTTACTAACCTCTTTAATGTTATTTTAAAAACTAAAAAGATGCTTGAGGAGTGGAGGAAGAGTATTTTGGTCCCCATTTTTAAGAATAAAGAGGATGCACAAGAGTGTGCAAATTATAAAGGAATTAAGTTGATGTGTCATACTTTAAAATTATGGGAGAGGGTAATTGAACATAGGTTAAGACGTATTACAAAGATTTCTTATAATCAATTTGGATTTATGCAGGGAAGTTCTACTATGGAAGCTATACATTTATTGAGAGGTTTGATAAAGAAGTTCATAGATAATAAGAAGGATTTACATTTGATTTTTATTGATTTTAAAAAAGCTTATGATAAGGTTCCAAGAGATATCCTTTGGAGAGTTCTTGAGAAGAAAAGTGTTGATATGACTTATGTGTTCAAGTCATTGTTCAAGTCATTAAATATATGTATACTAGAGCTGTTACTTGTGTTCGAACTGAAGAAGGATTGACCAAATTTTTTCCTATTTTGTTGGATTACATCAGGGATTAACTTTAAGCCCATATCTTTTTGCTTTAGTTATGGATGGTCTTGTTGGACATTTATCGGAAGATGTACCTTGGTGCATGCTTTTTGCTGATGATATCTTCTAGTGTATAAGACGAGAGAAAAAGCCCAGAAAAAACTTGAATTATGGAGGTCTACATTGAAGTCTAAAGAACTTCATTTGAGTAGAACTAAAACTGAATACATGGAATGTAATTTTAGTAGTAGTAGCTCTAATGACATAAGTGTAACTTTGGGTGATCAAATTATTAAAAGGTGTGAACGATTTAGATATCTTAGGTTTTTTGTTCAAAGTGATGGTGATATAGATGGGGATGTTAATAGTAGAATTCAAGTTGGTTGGTTGAAGTGGAGGAAT